AGTGCTAAGGGGTCACTAGAGCTAAGGGGTCACAGTGCTAAGGGGTCACTAGAGCTAAGGGGTCACAGAGCTAAGGGGTCACAGAGCTAAGGGGGCACAAAAGTTTCTGTTTACAGCAAGGTGCAAAGACGTCCTGCTTATAAAGTCAGATTTTGGCGGGGCAAGTGACTAGATGAAAACCAAAAGAAACAAGGAAAGATTTGAAAGGAAAAGTAGAAAGTCCCATTTGGGTCCAAACACACTATTTTCGTAGTTACAAAAGGCCTGACTTGGCAGTCATTCATAAGAAATAGGGCCTGCGATTTGGTGGCTCATAAGCTCACAAATGAGTGACCCGTGACACAGTATCAAAGAAGCAGGCCATGAAGTCTTAAACTGTGTTAGCAAAGCATGGTGTCCAGATGAGCTGAGTCAGCGGTGCGCAGGCTTCCTTTCAAACAGATTTGAAAGATGGACATAAACCAGGCGCATGCCTGTAATCTTAGCTCTTTTGAGGGGCTCAGCTCAGAGAATTGTGAGTGCAGGGCCATCCTCTGCTACATAGTGAGCCCCAGGCTAGCCTTGGCTAGAGAGTGAGACCCTGTCTCCCCACAAAACAAGAGAGGAACTGGGTAGATGTTCCGGTGGGTAAAAGCACTTGCTGTCCAGGCAGGAGGACATGCCTGAGTTCGAATCCCCAGGACACACACGACCGTAACCCCAGGGGGCAGAGACAGGATGGTCACTGCGGCCAAGCTGCAGGCTCACTAAGATGCCCTGTCTCAAAGGAGCAAGGCCAAGAGCGGAAGAGCAGGACACCGGATGTCCTTCTCTGGCCTCTGCATGTGCCCAGATGGTATACACCATCGTCTCCACCCCGCCCACACACGGGGGTTGGGGGCATGAATCTTGAGAAAGATAAATAGGTCATAGAAAAATGTAGCAACTATGTCACCAGATACGTGGTCAAAGAACTGGTTGTGCTTGGCCGAGAGGGAAAAGACCGGGGCAGAAATAAACGATCTTGCTGCACAAAGGATCGTGTGATGAGAGAGGATTTATAGTTATCCCGAGGGCGAGCTGAGACCTAGACTTGAGCTCAATGAAAAGCAGGCCTTTTAGAGAATCAGACCTGAATGACAGCACAATATCCCTACACCCACGAGTCAGTTTAGAGAGGCTTTGTAAGGAACCCCAATTGTGTGGGACTTGGGAGCCCTGGGGAGGTGGACTAGGCGAGGTGGAGACTTGGGTCAGATGGCCTGCAAAGTAGAATGACTCCGTCAAACAGTGCTCCTCCTGCTCCTCGTCTCCGGTCTCTCCAACTTCTCTGCCACTTGAACCTTTCTCCCTCCAAAGATTTGTTTGTTTGTTTGTTTGAGATGGGATCTCACTGTGTAGCCCTCGCTGGTCTGGAACTCGCTCTGTAGCCCAGGCTGGCCTGAAACTCACAGAGATCCGCCACGCTCTGCCTCCTGAGTGCTGGGGTTAAAGGTGGGAGGCTTCGTGCCTGGACTTCTCTGCTCTTAAGGGAACAACCAGCATTTGATCCTTTTGTTTTTGCTCATCATAGACGGTTAATGTTTTTACCTGCTCAGCATCTTGGTATTTAGAAATAGGATCTTGGGCCAGCGAGAGGGCTCAGTTGTTACAGGGGCTTGCTACCAAGCCTGTCAACCTGAGTCCAATACCTGGAACACACATGACAGGAGCGAACTGACTCTCCCAAGTTGTTCTCTGACTTCCACAAGAGTGCCGTGGCACACACACACCCATACAATAAACAAATGTAAAACAACAAAAATAACGAGGACCCTGATTCTTTGGAGAAATCACCATCACCCTTTCTATTTTGGCCTTTAGATTAAATTTGTCACACAGAGGAATGAACATGTATCACTTTCTGGCTTCCACGTGCTTCTTCACACATTGGTTATTCCACAGGCAGTCAAGTGACCCAAACCGACCAGTAGGAATTAGTTCAAAGATCTGCACTGTAACTATTAGAAAACATTGGGGCCATTTATTTGTAAGCTGTAGTTGTTAGAAGCCAGTGTGTTGAAAGAATCTGAAAGAAAATGAAGTCGACCCAAGTTGAAAGTGAATGTGGGGAATGGAGAGAGATTATTTTGATGACACATGCCAATAAATTTCCCCCTTTGATTTAGATCTCTGTCTCTTGAAGCCAACTTGTCCTTTCAGTTTCAAAATTTCTCAGTGCTTGGCTTCTCGGCCTTTTGAAATTTGACCCTCCAGCATGTTCTCTTTCCACAGCTCTGTCGCTTGCTGTACAGCTGGAGCCCAGGGAGCCAGATGACTGCACGGCCCTCAGCCTGGCCTTCTGAAAACCGACATGCCTTCCAACATGCTTTTAGGGAACATGTCACTCCTAAAGGCTTTTGTCCCTGAGGCTTCTTTTCACTCTGCTCTGTCTACAGTGTGTCCATTTTTCTAGTCGTAGGATTTGGATCCTGGTAGTAAGCTATACTTACTAAGCTCTTCCCGTACAAGCTAAGTGCTGGCCACTCAGAGCCCACATTCACAGTTCCTACCATGCTGGACTTAGAGGTCCAGGAGAGAACTGTAGGTGGACTTTTCTCTGGACTGCCAGCTCACAAAAGATGACACAGAGACTTATTATTAATTATTAAAGCTCGGCCTATAGCTTAGGCTTGTCCCACCAGCTCTTATAACTAAAATGAATCCTTTTCTATTCATCTATGTGTTACTACATGACTCGTGGCTTTTACCTCTCCTCCTTCATGTCTGTTCCCTCTGCCTCTGCTGGCAACTTCTCCTTTCTTTTTCCCAGAGCTCTCTGTCCAGAAGTCCCTGCTGTACCTCATGCCTAGCTATTGGCCGTTTAGCTTTTTTTTTTTAAGCCAATCACAGTGACACATCTTCACACAGTGTAAAGGAATATTCCACAACAGAGGGCACTGAGTAATGGGGTTGTATCCTAGAACACAGATCCGTGGGAAGAATTCACATAGCTGCTGCTCTGAAGATTGAGCTTGTATCATGGAGAAAACCATTCTTGTGTTAGGCTGCATTCTGTCACTAGAATGAAATGCTGGAGACAACTAACTTATGCAGGTTGTTTGGGTTTCGTGTTTTCAAGGTTTGGGTCTATGTTTGGTTTGGCCTTGTTGCTTTGAACCTGTAACGAGACAACATGTTGTCAAGGGGGCAAACCATTCTCCTCATGGCCAGAGAACAAGAGTAAGGAAGATGCTGAGGCCCTATTGCCCTTCAAAGGCATACCTCATACAATCTAAAGACTCCCAGTCAGGTCCCCTCTTAGAGGTGCTATAACTTCCCGACAGCACCAGCATGGGCCCAAACCTTTGATACACGGGTCTTTAGGGAACATTCAAGGTCCTAACGCTTCAGTTCTGTTCCTAGTCACGCTTTCCCACTGTAACCTTATTTAGAACAGAAAAAAGAGACACAGGACAAAACCCACAAGGAGCAAATAGGGCAAAAGGGGTCTCTTTATCACCCTGTTCCTCGGTCCCCACCCAACAGCCCCATCCCAAGGTATCAATCAGTTTCTTATGTCCCACCCCAAAGCAAGTCTGTGCACACCCAAGAATGTGTGTGTGTCCTCCCCGGCCTTGCTTTTCTTAACATAGAGCTGGTCTTTGCACCTCTTTCTCCACTCAGGAACAGTCCCCGGAAGTTGAGTGTTACTGGCATGTGTCTGTGATTACTGGCATTTGGGAGGCAGAGACAGAGGAATCAGAAGTTAAAGGTCATTCTTGGCTACATAGTGAGCTTGAGGTCAGTCTGGGTTACAAGAAATATTATCTATATAGATACTAAAAAGAAAGGAAAGATAATATCCTGAAGAAAATATTCTTTTTAATGGTCACACAATATTAAATAGAACAGTGAGAAATCTATTGCTTTAAAAATCTCCTTTTGGCTGAGGCCTCTGCCATGGGACCTGGACCATGCCACCGGGTGCCTGAGGCCACCCCTTGTGTGCTTGTGGTCCCTTTTGGTTCCAGGTCCAAAATGGCAACCCTCAAGGACCAGCTGGTTGTGATTCTTCTTAAGGAAGAGCAGGCCCTCCAGAACAAGATTCCAGCTGTTGGGGTGGGCACTGTTGGCATGGCTTGTGCCATCAGTATCTCAATGAAGGACTTGGCAGGTGAGTTTGCCCTTGTTGATGTCAAGCAAGACAAACTGAAGGGAGAGATGAAGGATCTGCAGCACGGCAGCCTTTTCCTTAGAACGACAAAAATGGTCTCTGGCAAAGGCTGTAGTGTGACTGCGAGTTCCAGGCTAGCCATTGCCACAGCAGGAGCCTGCCAGCAAGAGGGAGGGAGCCGGCTCAATGTGGTCCAGGGAACGGTGAACATCGTCAGCTTCATTGTTCCCAACATGGTGAAGAACAGCCCAAACTGCGAGCTGCTTGTTGCTTCAAACACAGGGGCTGTCTTAGCCTCTGCGGCTTGGGAGAGAAGCGGCTTTCCTGAAAACTGAGTTCTCGGAAGTGGTTGCGATCTGGATTCAGCTCCATTCCATTACCTGGTGGGAGAAAGGAGTTCACCCACTGAGCGATCACGGACGGGTCCTCTGGCAGCGTGGGAGCTCCAGGGTGCCTGTGTGGTGTGGTATAAATGTTGCTGGCGTCTCCCTGAAGAATCTCGGCCTAGAATTAAGTAAGCACTGACGCAGACAAAGAGCAGTGGAAAAGGCTCACAAACAGGTGGCTGACAACGCCTAGGAGGTGCTCAAGTGGAGGATCCTATGTCCTGGGCCGTCGGCCTCTCGGTGGCAGACTTGGCCAAGAGCAAGGTGAAGAATCTTAGGAGAGCGTCTCCCATTTCCACCATGATTAAGGTTCTCTATGGAATAAAGGAGGACACCTTCCTCGGTGTCCCCTGTATTCTGGGACAAAATGGGATTGTGGATGTTGTGAAGGTGACTCTGACTCCTGCGGAGGAGGCCTGCTTGAAGAAGAGAGCTGTAGTTCTAAGTCGATGCTAGCATTGGACTCACAATGTAGCCCAGGCTAGTCTCAGACTTGCAGCGGTCATCCTGCTCCAGCCTCCCAAGTGTTGGGATTACCAGTGTTTGCCCTCAGGCCTGACTTTTGTCTTACTATTTCTATGAATGAGAAAAGAAAACTCAATCACAAATGGGAAATACACATGTCTAACAAACACGTTACAAGTTCAGCCTCAGCCATGTGTAGCAGTGTGCACCTGTAATCCCAGCTCTGGAGACTAAAGCAGGAGGAGAGCAAATATCCTGGGCTACCTGAGTACCAACCAACCAACCAACAACAACAACAAAAAACAGTTCAAGGCACCTGCTGATGGAGTGGCAGCTGTGTAGCTAGGTTAAACCTTCCTGACGTTCTGAGGAAGCCGTAAAAACGTAGTTCTTCTTCCTTCTTTTGGATACTTGCCTGTGCCTGCTTTCCCAGGAATCTGGGCTTTCTTGCTCTTACCTCTGAGTCGACTTCCTTTGAGACAAGTTCTCACTATGTAGCCCTACATAGGCTAACTCACTACGTAGACCAGGCTAGTCTGGAACACATAGATCCGCCTGCCTCTGCCTCCCAAGTGCTGGGATTAGACGTGACCCACACCAGCTGCCTGCCTTTGTTGTCGATTGCATACAGAATTCCCACCCCAACTCAAAAAGGCCAGGCCTTCTCTCTCTCCTCACTCTCCTTCCTCCAGACAACTGCTGAGATTGACAGTCTGCCTTGCCTGCTGCTTTCCTTTTTTAATTATAATTAAATTATCCTTGATATTATTTGTTTAGATTACATCTTTTATTCCAGAAAATTATGCCATGTTGGCAACGGGTGCAAACTAATGGATGCTTTCAGAAAGCAGTTCCTAGCAGCAAGAGACTTAAGGTTTTTAAATCTTGGTCCGGTAATGGCACTTCTAAGAGTCCATCCTATGGGCGTAACCATCAAAACAGACCAAGATTAATGCACACAGATAAGTACTGTTTTAGCTGGCGAACTTGAAAGCCTGTTTGAAAAGCTATTTGAAAGCTATTGTTTTCTAAGTAAGACATGTTGTGTTCCACCAGGAAGGCCACAGGAAAACTGTTTCAAAGTATATCGACAAGGGAAAATGTGTACATTATATTAAAAGCAGGACACAAAACTTCTTATGCAGTGAGTCCATAAATACATGAAAAAAATAGAAATAACTCGTGTTTGTTAGGGCCCACAGATCACTGCACAAAAGACCACCACTCACATATGCAAAAGCAAAAGCATTTATTCCTTGCATTAATCATTAACCAAGAATTCCTGCATGCAGGGGTCACCCACGCAACAAAATGGCAACCACCCCCAGAGAAGCTCCCAGGCTCCTTTTATAGACAACCAGGAGGGGATTAGGTCATCCTAAACATGACTGGCCAATCGAGCAGCAGCCACATTAATATGTTTCTGATTGGCTGGGACTGTAAGTGCTGAATCATGCCTGGCATGCAACATCTCCCTCACCTGCCTTATTAGAAACCGAAACTGAAACAGAAGTGGAGACTTACACAGAGACTGAAACTCAGGCCTAGTAGAGGCTGGGGCTGGGAGAAGCCCACTCTGGTGCTCCTGTGGCCTCTCAGTGTTTAAAGAGGTTACACTTGTGTCTCCTACCCTTACCCATCTGTTATTTCTCCAGTTTTATACTGCTCCTGTTCTTTGTGGTCTAAGAAGAATCCTGCACAAAATACACAAGCAGACTGTCACCTCCAGGCCGTGGGGCTAGCTTGGATGGTAAAGGGAGCAAGCGTGAGGACCTAGGTTTGGTCTCCAGTACCCGTTTAGGAGCTGGGTGTGGCCTTTTGTGCTTCTTATTCCAGCACTGGGGGTCACAGACAGGAGGACCGTTGGGGCACTGACCTGTTCAGTTCAGTTGGTGAGGTGTAGAGAGACCTCATGAGATGTAGGGGCTGGACAGATGGCCCAGTGGTTAAACAAAGGATGGATTTGGTTCCCAGGACCCACACTGAGCCACTCACAACCATCTGTAACTCCGGCTCCGGGGCCCTCTAGCCTCTGTGGATACCTGCCTAACGTGTGTTTGTGCATGTGCATGTGCATGTACACACACACACACACACACACACACACACACACGCACGCACGCACGCGCGCACACACACATGCGCGCACGCACACGCGCACACACACACACACACACACACAC